CTAAATCAAAAATTTAGGAACGAAATACATAATTACGATTTATTCTATGTACTTAGCTACAACGTTATGTTTGTTTTCTCGATGTAAAGCCGAACGGGTCTGGCAGCTCGCTGTACCTGCTGTGAAGTGAAGGAGTGGTTGTGTCAGCTACAGGAGAGACACTTTTGCTTTCCGTCTCTTCTACTAGATTGAAGGCTGGTGTACATTTCGGAAGTTCTTGCAGCACATTTACTACCATAGCTTCCTGACCCATCATTCTGGCCTCGATGGCATGTCGGAGAAGCCCCAATCGATAAAACGAGGCTTCACAGTAGAGCTCACGCAGCTCGTCTACTGTATTCGGTAATTTATTGTCTCGCAAAAAACCAAAAATAAGCTGAAAGACTAAAAAGTCTCGGTCAAAGAAAAATGATCCGTCCTTGTCGGGGTGGAGCTTTGGTGATTTTGTGCACAATTGAGCTAAAATGGAGAATCGGTCTCGAGTCCAAACTTTGACAGTCGATTTAAACAACTGCATCAAATAAATCCTTTGTAATTTTCCATTACACAGAGAAATAGAAGCAAATTACACCTGCCCACCAACGTTGAAGACAATAACAGAGTTCTCAGGCTGAAAGTCGAAATGCTTGCTTAGGTTCTTCTCAAATCTGTGAGCACCATGACGTTTGTATCTTAGTAGCTTACATCGTTACTCTCATCATCCAACGTACTCATTGCGTTTGGAGTCGTACTCTCGCTGAGCATCCTCCACGGTCACCCACTCGGCCACCACTTTTTTCTTTTCATCCACAAGCTAATTGAAGTGCAAAATTACATCAGTTTAGCGACATCAAGCAAAATGACAGCATTCAACCTTTCGTTCCGCACTTTCAATTAAGGCCCATTCACGCTCTAATTCGCGCCGCAAGGTCTCGCGAGACAACATGCACTTCAAGTGTCGCTTGGTACTTAGAAAACCTTTAGAAAGCTATATTCACTTTTATTATTTATGTTCATCCCATTTTGATTATTTTATTGAGGTCCAACCACTGGACGGCTCGGACTATTTTTTCTGTAGCTTTAAGGCATAATGGCGTTCTCAGGGATGCGATGGGGTGATGAAGAGGACGACCTACTACCACAACGCACGGAGAGTGAACCCGATTCAAACGGCGTCCGTCAGATTATTGAGTGGAAAGTGAATGAGGCTGGCGATAAAGTGAAGATCATCAAGAAGGTCAAGAAAGTGACGGAGGTTGAACGCATCAGCAAGCGCGCTCTCGAGCGTAAAAAGTGGGCCAAATTTGGTGACGCTTTGAACGATGGCGATGGAAGCAATGTTACTTATATGTCGTATGAAGAAGTCAAGCTTGATGACCCTAACGCGGATCAGGTGCTGCCCGGTGAGAAGAAAGAGGAGGAGAACATTTTTGCTGGTGTCAAAAATTCGTCTATCGTGGTCTGTCGCCATTGTGGCATGGTGGGTGACCACTGGACGCTTAAGTGTCCGTATAAAGATACACCTAAAGATGAGCTGGAGCAAGATATGGCCAAGCGCGCCGAGTCTGGTGAGACCGCAGAAGCAGCAGCCTCATCCGCTAATCTCGGTGCGCGTAGCTCTGCTTTAGATGACGCCTCTGGCCCCAGCAAGTACGTACCGCCCGGTCTTCGTGGTCGTGTAGGTGCCACTGGTGGTGATGCTGGTGGCGATAATGCACGCGACGACAGCGCGACGCTACGTGTGACTAACGTATCGCCAGACACACGCGAAGACGATCTTAAGGAGCTGTTTCGCGCTTTTGGCCCTGTATCCCGTGTGTATTTGGCTAAAGACCGTGAAACGTTCCAGTCCCGTGGTTTTGCTTTTGTGAGCTTCATGTATCGAGAAGATGCAGAGAAGGCCTTGAACAAATTGCAGGGCTACGGCTATGATCACTTGATTCTTAAGCTGGAGTGGGCCAAGCCTTCGACTAAACCCGCAAATGAAGATGCTGGTAGCATGGGCACTACTTTCCGCTCTGGTTACGGAAAGGCTTTGCCACAGAACGTAGCCCCTCCTCCACGCAAGTAATTGGCATGATTATGAAAGAGTAGGAGTCTATGTAAGGTTGGGCTTTTTTAATGTTAAATGAGGTGATTGATCACGACACACCTGTCAACAATCACGAGCGTAAGGACGAAATGGTTACTGCCTGTTGCATCGCCACATTTCCCTATCTGCCAGCTGGTGCCGTGGCTGCACGTTATCTAGCGTACACTACAAAGCATCACAAACTTATCAAATATAATTCCCACAGCCGATTTAAAAACTAATTGTTGTGGTGTTGTCTGCCTTGCTTTTGCAAGTCTGAGCTCTTCCGAATTGCCCACTTGTTAAGACAGTCTAGTTTTTTCCTCATATTTGTGTATTTCGCTCAAGAAAAGGGACGGAAATACGGTATTTAATTCACGACTTCAAACAGCTCTATCCCAAGCTTCTTCATTACTCGAAGCTTCAGTAAAAGTTTACTCTGTACTTGCGTACACACTTCGGTCGCTCATGGCCAGCGAACATCAATTTCCCGAGAGTTTAGCTTGGGTGGAGCGTGGCTCTGTACTTATTCGACGTATGAATTCAGAGCGTATTGCCGAAGATCCGCGCGTACGTCGTTTGCTGCTGAAGCTGTCGCTACCCCCATCGCCCACTGAAGTGGCAGCTATGGAGGCAATTGCAGAGGAAACTACGAATCTTGGCGACAGTGAAGAGATACTACCAGTGCGTCCTTCTTCAAAGTCACTGCTTTTGGACGGACCAGAAAGTTTTGAGGCTATTGAGGCTGCCACAGACGACGATGATGTGAAACAAGAGAGCGAAAATACGGCTCCTAACACATACAGAGTGCTGCTATGGACTTACAGACTACAGGCTTCATTGCAAAGTACAGTGCAGTACGCGTTATTTGCTAAAACCAGCGAAGACGGATGCTTTATTCAGATTGCTCCAAGGTTAGTAGCTTAAAAAGCGGCTATCGCTTTGAGATGCTAAAATTATGAGCTTGTTCCAGGGTTTACTGTGTCGCACCACCGCATATTACAACATTCAGTAGACTCTTTGGGGCGTTTTCGTCAGCACGCAATTGGAATGCTGCAGTCAAGGTGCTTGAGCAGTTGGATTCACAGATGACGAAAAGGTACGGACTCTCACATTACAGCTTTTTTATGCATCTAATCGCTTTTTATTTTGCGGTAGATTTGAAGATGGCGCGTGTGTGTTTGACTGTGGCTTGTTTGATGGAGTGAAGAGGATGCATCATAAACCTTTAGTGTTTGACGAGTTTTGCGGTATGATTACTTTTTGCAGTGTTAAAACTCACAATACTAACACTTCATGTCGCTACTTATACAGATGGACGACTTGCTTCCATTTCATATTGCCGCGGGCCAATTCCTTCCATGCATTCTGGATTTGTCGTAACGTCAACAGTGGCGGCATGGTTGGACTTGAAACCAACAAATGTTGCTATTTTGTTGGCACCTAATAATGAGCAAATGAGTGTGTTTGCAACGTGTTGCACCCTCTACTGTACTGATGCGTCGTCTTTTCCTGAAGATTTTGGCAATGAGCTGCTTGGTGCGTACATGCACCATATAAAGCTTGCAGAAACGTGGCCAGCGAAACTTCATCGAACATTTAGTGGCAACGACCCGAAAAACGCAGCATATACAGGGGGATTGCCGCGACCTCAAGCGCGGTACATTTCCGACTTCGTTAAGCTGCTAGAAATGCGAGACAGAAAACTAATAGATTGCGCCGACTTACCAGCTCTTGATGAGAAAAAGCAAAAGCTGACGGGAATTGCCGTTACTCCCGCTGCTCGGTCAATTTACATTCGACAGATTGATTTGTTACCCGAGCCAAATTGTGCAGAGGATGTTGTTACTACAGACGCGGCTGCTTTGTCGCCAATGGCCGACATTTGTCGACCTTATTTTGTCATCCAGAATGAAAAGGGGGTCTTGTTTTCTAGCATGGTAAACGGAATTCGTAATGTTGAGCTTCACACTGGAGTGCATGGTTTTCTTGTGGGAAAACAGTTTGCAAATTGCAGCGATCTAATGCTCAAGATGTATCATTTACCGTTCGGGCAACAAGGAGAGCTAATTTTCGAGTGCCGGCTACATGCCAGTATTTTGCTAGATCTGCAAGTCGTTGAAGACGAAATCGGTTTGCAAGGTGATGATGTAGGGGTTGTCACGCTGAGTCTTGACAAGGGTGATTTTGACTGTATTTCTTCAACCTTTTCGCTGCCAAAGCAGTTTACAGCTCGTGTATTGTATTCGCATACCGCAAATGCATTCCCCGCATTGGAGTTGCCGTTACCTATCAGACAGATGGATGAAATAAATGCATCAGTGGCTACAGAGCAAGAGAATGGCGCAGTTGCTCATTTTCGCTCATTTTCCGAGCAACAACGACGCAATAGTCAAGCCAAAGCCGTTCAATATACTGGTCCGAGTGCTGTCACGTTCCTGTTGAACCAATCTGGAGTTCGGACACCATTTGGGGATCTTACACTAGAGAAAATTGATGTTATTCGAAAGACGTACCAAAATCGTGTTGATATCTATCTACTTTTTCACGTCGATGCTGGAAATGGTGAAACCAAAGTATTGCCATCGCGACATTTCTTCCGCTTTGCATTGCCGGCTGCTGTTCGCGAAAAAGTGATTAAAATGGGGGCGAGTGTAGAGTCATTAAACGAAAACGTGCCATCTTCGTTTGACGTTGGCGCAGGTTGTGTGAGTTCTAAATGACGCCTGTTGATCGTTCACTAACGTCATCGTCGCAACAGGAATGATGCCTTTTGATGAGGAGTATGCGCGATGGCTGCAACATTTATATGAAACTGATCTAGGTACGCATTACGATTGTGTTCAAGTCAGGTGTCCAATGCACTTTAATATTGGGTCGTATTGTTTGTCTTATAGATACCCCCGGATGTCAATACGACGACGAGGTGCGTAAATACCATCACGATCCAAGTGTTTGGTGCTTCTTCTGATCGCCACATTAAAATTTGCGATGCAGTTTGTTCGAGACATTCCAGTGTCAGAAGTTCAACCCAGTCTAAATTATCGGATCGGTAAGTTCGAAACGTGATGTTAGTACAACCAGCATTTTTCACATTCTTGCCTATGTTGCAGTGAGCATTGAAATTGAGTCAAACGATTCACCTTCTGAGCAGGACCAACGCGGTCGTCGTCAACCTCAGGCAAAGTCGTATGTCAAATCTTTCTCTTTCATCAAAAGCAACAGTAACCTGAGGCAATCGTGCTGTTTTATCTAGACGTGGTGCATCTGCTGTGTTGATTAATCAGCTCCCAACTTATACCTATGGTGCGTCCAAAGGCAACAATGATCAAGGAAACCCCGAGTACGTATGCTTCTAACGTGTACTCGAACAGTTATGTCAACTGATGTGGTGAACTTTTTAGCTGCTTAATTTGTCGTTGCGGTTTTGAGCTCGGTGAGGAGATCAAATCATTGCCGTGTTTTCATTCGTATCATTCCGATTGCGTCGATTCGTGGCTATCCCTCAACAAAGTGTGCCCAGTGTGTCAATTTAGCGTCGATCATCCGCAGCATTAATTCTTAATATGTTCTCGTCTAAAATTACGAAAAAATAGTGCATGTCTAAATTGATAATTTATCCAATGTTGATACTTAAACCGTTAGCTCACCAATCCATAGCAAAAAGCACCTAATGATTAATAAGAAAGACTTGTACAAGGCCAATCACAACTCCTAACACGCCTCCCATGACCACAAGTTTCCATTCATCTTCCTCAAAGATTGGATGAAGTAAATTTTCAAATTGCTCTGAGCTTAGCAGCTTCATCTTCTCGCGCAAAGTCACCTCCAAGTCCATGGCAACAGTAGCGTAGCTTTCAATTTGGCGCAGACTCTCCGGAAAAATTTCGACAATGTGATTCGTCACATCATCCTTAATGTTCGCATACACTTCCTCGCCAATACTAAAATTAATAAGCTTCTGAGTAGTTTGAGTGGCAGCGTTAACGGCCTCTTGAACATTGTCGTATACAAGTTCGAACAGACGGTCAGAATACGGGCCCTTTAAAATAGCCTCAAAAATATTTCGTGAATTCAAAACATCACGAGCCACCATCTTTCCATAAACTTCGGCGACCTCGTTCTGCCGACGAAGAAAAAGGCCATGAAAAGTGATTCCGCAATACTTTTTCGGGTTCACTGGTTCAAAAATCATCTTTAGAGCTAGCCAGTTAGTGATAGTGCCTACAAGTAAGCCAATCACAGGGAATACCACGATGCGGTCTGAATAGACGAACCAAATACCCATTTGTATGAGCCCAAAAATGCCACCCATGTAAGCGCCCGAGTTACGAATGAAGGCAAGTTCTGAGTAACCACAAGTTATAAACATATTAACGAGAAGCTGTTTATCTTTGCACATACTGGTTACAACCATATCCTCCAAGTCAAACACGTCCTCAATATTATTTCGAATCTCGTCCATAAGTGCCTCAATGTGAGCCGGAGATTCTTCTTTAACCTTCTCAATTATCTCCTCCTTCACCTTAATCGGTAAGACTGCCCACAGTTCTGGGCTGTACTTCAAGGCCATATCTTCCACCACTGTATGAATTGTCGAAAACAGAATTGGCTCCAGTTCTCGAACCACTTGAGATGGCTCGATCCTTGCAAATATTTCCGAAACATGCAGAAGCCGTTTAGTCATCATTTGCACAGCTTGTCGCGCCATTTTCTCTCCTTTGTTTGGGACGATTCCTTGCCATCCAAGGCCTGTATTGGTGTTTGGAATTTGCAAACATCCAGCATACTTGAGCGGGTAAAATGTCATCCAAAGCGCCACCCAAATGTGGAGGTACGTAAACACAACGCTGACGAGCGGAATAGATCCATATTTCACAAGACTCTCCGAGTCGATACCAATATCAGCAAGAGGTCCACGCAACACCGTGAAACACAAAATCGTCAAGATCACAAAGAGCGTTGAGAGGATCAAAATTGGCACAGAAGGTACTTCTACCATTGGTGGGAACTTAACTGGCATGATTTTATCCTGAGATATCCGCTTAAATTTCGCAGGTGAATGGGCGAGCGGCACAAAATCCGTCACAATTGCGAGCGTGTCATCATTTGAGGCCACCTGCACCATACCTAAAAGTGTAAATCGGAGACTTGTCGCTAATTCTGGAGGAGTGAGTTGTGCCCAGTTGGCAGTTGTAAAGCGCAAAACCTCTGCGCCCCTGCGGCCCTTTAAAGGACCGACAAATCGCGCATAGCGCCCATTTTCGAAATGCTGGAGCCATTCTTCAAGCTGCTTGGGCGTCCAGGACTCGGGATTCAGCAGTAAAGACTGTTTCGCATCGTTAAGTCGTACCATTGGATAGGAACAGACTTTATCAATTGTGTTTTCGTGGCAAGTTCAAGTAAAGGCGAGGGCAAGACGCGCTTGGCTCTATCTGCTGGAAATGACTGTGCTAGATTTAAAAGAGTAGAAGCTGCTCTTACTTTACTCAAAGAGAGGCGGACGCGTTTTTGTCAGTGGTTCTCCTATTGAACAGCAAGATCAATGCTGATGTCCCGAGTACAAGCGTCAGCTGTTGTTGTATAACAACTAGTCTGACAGAATTAGATTGTTTTTTTTTAAATAATTCCTCATTTTTATAAGCTACTTGTATTCAAAATCTCAAAGATTATTTTTATAATATATTCTGCACAAACATGGTCGTCGCATTTTTTTTAACGTGACGGCCAGGTATTCGCAATAAATAAATTAAACGTCGGCTCGTATACGACAAAAGCCTCACGCCTGATATATCATCGAACGCCCAGGGCCATTTCGTAGACTCGTATTTAATACTCGCAATGATTATGCTGTGCGGTCTGCAAGCGCTAAAAAAATGCTTGATTAGGCGCAGTGGTATATCTGACTAGATTTGTTGATATTTTCGTCTAATTCATGAAAATTGGTATATCCTTATCTAAACATGCTGTCACTATTTGATTGCTCACACGACAAAACATTCGAAGTTCTAACTCGGCTTTGGCTTGACCACTTAAGCGGTCCAACAGGGGCTTCTATTGACTTTATAATTTGACTCAACAGCACAATGTATCAAATAAAGGCATGGATTTTCCTGTTGTGATGCCAAGAAAACTTCTGCATGTAACCCATCTAGTTGATGCAAGCATGGTCGGTATCGAAAATTGTCTAATTTTTCAGAGCATCTTGATATTCACACCGGTACAGTCCATTATAGTATTAAGAAAGTAGCTGACATGTGATGCGATATTTAAATGCTATTTGCTGTCAGACGTTCAGATGGCGTTATGCACTGGACAATAGTCTTTTCTAACTACGCTGACAATAGTCGCATGATGCAATGATAATGATGTTTGTAAAGGTAGAATAACACTGTGTTAACATATTTGAAACGTGAAATTATATGCTTTAATTTCTAGCTCGCAATGTATGCATTAGACAGCTGCTTCATCATCGTTACCTTATGTAAAATCGCGTGTATAACACAGTGCGCGAGGAAACGCAATACAGGGGACGAGAGACTGGAGAGTTCGGGATGTACAAAAGTTCTTGCCACAGTGATAAATAGGAATATGATTACGTGCGACGAAAAATAATATTTTGGGTCGCAATTAAGGTTGTCTATATCACCAGAATTAGAAGAAGTGACCACTCAATCTACCTAGCATGTATAGCGTTTACAAATGTAGAACCTTTCATTTGTATGGGTAGAGTGATCTATCTGTATTTTTGTCAGTGAGGTGTTCATCTTGTAGAGCCTATCATGTCGCATATTGTATGGGTTACTACACGTCTATGCTTGACTGGAGGTCCCAAAATTTACAGAAATTTGTCTTACTGACAGATTGTAAATGTGACGGGTCACACGGCACCTTGCACAGAGGAAGCTTGACTTCCAAGAGTATA